GAGCAGGGAGTTGAGAGCACTGGCATTGGTGGAGCATAGAATCCAGGCTAGATGAGCTGATGGACAGAGGGACAAAGGCTGGTCACAGGATTGGGAGTCCCAGTGAGGACAAAGTAGTGTGATAGCGGAGGGCTTGGAATACATGAGCTGAGAGGGATGGGAAGGGTGGTCTAAAACAGGGATCCTTGACATAGAGATCTCAGGGATGGTGCAGCCTCTGGGCATGAAGAAGTCTGTGGTGTGACCATGGGAGGGTGTGAATGGAGAAAAGTTCGAATCTCACAATAGAGGACAACACACTCCCTTTCCCCAACGAAAAGCAGGCTGCCCCACCGCTGCTCCTTCAACCAGGCTGGTGTCTTTGGCTGGATGCTCACCTTCCCTGGTCACCCCAGCTGAACAATCCCCTCTGATCTGTCCTCTTTGGGTGCATCAGCCCAGAGCCCTGCAGTATATCTTACTTCTCCCACTACATCAGGATCTGCTTAAGGGCAGACCCTTATCTTGTTCAGTTGGGAACCCTCTGTACCTCCTAGCTTAGATCTCTGGTTGATACTCAATGATGGCTGAATGGATGAATGAATAAATGAAGAGCCACCTGAGTAGCTGGCTAGAGTGTAGGGACGGCAGGCCACCCAGCACCCTTCCCCAGCTATTCCAGATACACCCCCACCCCACTCTCATCCCAGTACCCACCTCGGTCTCCGTCCTGGAGTACTCCTTGACTCTCTCCACAGCCACAATATTAGACTCCAGCTCTGATAACATTCGTATCATCCAGTTCAGAGCAAATGTCACCTGGCCAAAGGGACTGGGTTGTGGGTAGGGTGAGCTTCACTCCCCCCAAAATGACTTTGGGAGGAGTTCAGACTCCTTGATTATACTCCTGTCCCATCTATGACCCAGGAAAGTCTGGGTAAGCCCATAGGTGTGTTATCTGGAGCTCTGATCACAGCTGTACCTCAGCAGTGATAATGCAGACTTAACCAAGGGCCACCTAACCCAGTGTTTCCCAAACATTAATATGTATAAGAAAGACTTCCCAGAGAACCTTGCTTCTGATTCAGTAGGTCTGTGGTGGGACCTGAGATCCTGCATTTCTAACAACCTCCCACATGATGTTGACACCACTGGTCCCGGGACCGCATTTTGTGTACCAAGGAGTCTTGACAGACATGTAGGATCCTGAACCCCATCCTAGGCCTACTGTATCAGAACCCACATTTTAACGAGATCTCCAGCTGATTCATATGCACATGAAAGTTTGAGAAGATTGATTTGTCTGGATTGTCCTTTGTTTACCAAAGCATTCAAGACTTGGCCCACCTGAGACATTGAAAATGTGATCTACTTCACAAAATTCCATCTGCAGTTATGTAACCCTTTGACAGCAGGCTGATATCAGAGTGACCTGTCCGGCCTCCGGCCCAGACTCCGGTCATCTTTTCCATGTACTTTCTCTGAAGGCATGTGAAATGAGGTATATTCCAGCCCACACTTCCCCGCCCCAGGAACTGTCAGGATGGACCTCCTAGATCTTGTGCATAGTCAGGGCAAGCTCTGTTTTGTCTTTTGGGGCCAAGCTGCAGGATAATTTCTCCAACACTCCAAGGTAGAGAATCTCCTCCATGTTCTTACAACATTTTGTTCCTCCCGCCACCAAGACCTGCTCACCCAGCATTACCATCCCCCTGCTTGTGGAGTGTCTCTCTCCATGCTTGGCTGTGAGTTCACAGTCCTGGCAAGCAGAAGCTGTGGCTGGTTCCCACCCTGGGACCCGGACCCCTGTGTACCTGTAGGGCATAGGACACGGAAAGGCCCACCATCCCTGGACTCAGGCTGCTTCTCCCAATCACAGCGAAGAGAGCAGCAAAGAGCACAACACAGTTCCCCACAAACTCCACGCGGATTCCCAGCCACCTGCAGGGATCAGACAAGGAGGCACTGGGGCAGGTACAGGGAGGGGGCAGTTTCCTGTTTAGGGGGAAGGAGGGGCTAGGACCCAGAACACCAGGGTCTCTCCTGCAGAGACCCCAATGGGAGCTGCTGGAGGAGTGCGGGGTAGGGGGGATGTGGGG